ACCTTGCACTTATGGGCTAGGAGAGGGTTTAAATATCAGATCATCCTTCTGTTCTGCATTCAACAACTTAGCAACGTATCAACCCTCCCCATGGCTTGTCCTATTCCTGGCTGCCCCCGCCCCCACCCCCACCCCTTTCCATCTCCCTCTTTTTGGATCTTGGATCCCCCTGCACCCAAGTTTACACCCTCTAGTCTACTACTTCCTGATTACTCCCGCTTCCTCTTCGTCCTTCCAAGGCTGTATCTTATGGAATGGAAACCTTTTCTTAATTTCTTTTTCCTATCAGCGGCCTCAAATAATAGTCGACCTTTTGTGACACGAACTAACTTCACTCAGCCTAATGGCCTCCAAATCCATCCATGTCTTGAGGCGTTTCACAGTTCCACTATGAGCATCATGTTTATGGCAATACCTAAGTCTTCCGCTGGGTGCATGTCTCAGAGTCCATGTATCTGTTCTCCCACCAGTGGGCACTGAGGTTGTTTCTATGGTCTCGGTCTTGCGGCTAGTGCTGCGGTAAACAAGGGTGCATCTGCATGTAAGTGTTAGTGATGCTGTTTCTGATTTTTTTTTTTAAACAAAAAGCAATAGAACCACGGTGGAAAACGGCATGGTGCCTTCTAAAACGATTGGGATTGGAAGTACCGATGACTCCGCAGTCTCGCTTTTGGTTACGCCCTCCAGAAACCCAGCCCTTCCACACCCTCGCCAGCATTTGTTGTTGTTTTTTTTTTTAATTGATTTTGTTTCCCTATCAATTCTGGAATAAGGTGGGATCTCATCAATGTCTGTTTTGTGTCTCTCTTCATGTTTGTTGGACGCCTGGAGGTCTTCTTTGGTCAACTGCCTGCTAGTGTCCTCTGCTCATTTTTAAACTGGGCTGTCCATCTTTGGGGTTGGTGATGTTTTCCACGGCTCTGAGAGATTAGTCCCTTGTCTGACATGTCGCTGCCACAAATTCCTACAGTGTGGGTTCTCCGTGGGTGGAATCTTTTCTTTAAAAATGATTTTATTTGGGGGGTTGGCAGACTCTTTTAATGTGCCTAAGAGTCGTATTTTTAATGGGAGAGTGACAAATATTGTATGAGACCACTATTATAAAAAGCCAAGAAAAGGTTTTTCACCGAAAAAGAAAACTCTGATGATGCCCAGGGGTGAATGGGGCTGGGAGCGAGAACCACTAACCACAGGGCAGACAGTCTATTGACTAGGGTGCAGGGGACGGGCATGTTTGTAAGAGGGAGGTTGGCTCAGCACACGGTAGTGAAGGCCAAAGCGCACATTAGAAGAAGTCAAGCATCAAAGACAACAGGGGGGAAATCCAGGACGGTGAATCTAGAGACAGCGACTGGATTACTGGTCCTTGAGGGGGGTGGGTGGCAGGGGAGGTTGGGGGGCAGTGGGGAGCCGATTACAATGAGTTCAAGAAGGAAGGAAATGTTCTAGCATTGACTGTGGTGATGATTGTACAACTCTTCTTAATATGATTGGACGATTGAATTGTATGATATGTGAATTATATGCCAATAAGATTTTTAACATGGCAGCAGAGATAAATACTAATATCTATACAATTTTGTAGGGCTGTGGGTAAAGAGTTGGGTTATGTGGTGGATTAGAAACTGCAAGGTTGATGGTTCAAACCTACCAGTTGCCCTAAGGGGGAAAGATTAGACTGTCTGCTCTTGTAAACATTTAGTCTGGGAGACCCTGTGTGAGTCAGAACTGCATCGGAACGGTGGTGCCGGAGACGCCATGGACTGCCAAAAGGACAAACACATCTGTGTTGGAAGAAGTACAGCCAGGGAGCTCCTTAGAGGCAAAGAGGGCAAGATTTCATTTTACATACTTTGGACATGTTGTCACGGGAGGCCAGTCCCTGGAGAAGGACATCATGGTTGGTAAAGTAGAGGGGCAGTGAAGGAGAGGAAGACCCCCGATGAGACGGACTGACTGGCTGCAACTATGAGCTCAGGCATAGGGACCGTTGTGAGGGTGGCACAGGACTGGGTGCTGTTTCCTTCTGTTGTGTATAAGGTCCCAATGAGTCGGAGCCGACTTGATGGCGGTGTTTTTATCTATCTATTATTTTATGAGTCGCTGCATGGACTGTGAGGAGGAGAACAGCACGAATCCCACAACGTTCATGGGGATGTTGCACAGAAGCCCCCTTCCCAGATTAGCGTGACAGCGGACATTCCTACACAAAGGACGAAAAGAAAGAAAAGAGCATTGCAGAATGGGAGACCATCCTGTCTGCAGTCACAAGGCCCGGTGAAAGAACACCTGGTGCTGAGTGTGATCTGCCTCACTGTGACTTCCAGGGCGCTGCCGACAGCTCTGATGGACAGAGGAGACCGGTCCTGCTGAAGGATGGGGAATCCAATGGGGTCCCCCCGGGAACAGGGGACCAGAAGCAGCACGTGACACCTGCCAGAGAGGCTCCATCTAGAGCCCAGGCCAGGAACTCTCTGCATAAGAGGCTGGCTGTTCCTCGGGGGCCAAACTTGGGGAGTGGGCCGAGGGAGGGGATGGGAGGAAGTGGGGTACAGGCGTGGTGGTGGTGAATTTCTGGGATGGCGGTGCAGGGGTCAATGGGCTCTAGAGCAGGGAGGATGGGGTGCAGGGGCCACCTCAGTTGGCACACACAGTTGTTACATGCTCCTCGGGTTAGGTGTGTGTCTATCCCCCACTCCCCTGCTGTTATAAAAGGTCATTCTGCGTTGGAATCTAAGTGATGGCAGTGGGCTTAGTTTGGGACTGTGAGTTTAGGAGTCCGGTTGGCACAGGAGTCCCAACACACAGTCCGATTGGGACTGTGAGTTTAGGAGTCCGGTTGGCACAGCCTAGTTAAGCGCTCGGCTGTTAACTAGGTGGTCAGCACTTTGGACTCGACAGCGGCTCCTCCAGAGAAAGAAGTAGCTGTCTGCCTCCTTATCTACTTACACGGGGCAGGTAGGTCCCCTCTGTCTTCCTGCATCCCTGTGAGTCCGTGCATGCAGGTTTGCCCGTTTGGTTTTGGGGTGTAAGTCTGGGTTTGGCAAAGCTATATGGAAGGGCCAGTAAAGAGGTAAAGGTGGGCGGAATGAAAGCCTCTCTCCTTGGCAAGTCGTCTCCAGGCAGCAGTGAGATGACACGGGGAGGCTTCAGCTCCCCTGAGGCCAGACGAGAGCACCACATTCCCCCACTGAGAGGCTCTGTTTGCAGAAGACCCCAAGTGTGTATTAATTAAGACCTGGTTTTCCTGCGATTAGAGCCGGTCTCCCAAGGGCCCCTGCCCAGTCCTGCCCCGATGCTCTGATGGATGGCTCCTGCTCAGAGAGCAGCACCCATGGCCGAGTCTGCTGTATGCTTTGCCATCTCTACCTGCCTTTTCTACCGAGTCACAGAACCCTGCTTTTCCGTTGGGCTTACTGCTACTCTGTTCAGGAGGGTGGTGGCATTTCCCAGGGCACCTCCCTGGCACCTGCATACAGTCACATGGCTGAGTTCTTCCACCACCAAGACGTGGAAGGCTGTGAGACTCTGAGGAAACCTCCCTTTTCTCTTTTCCATTCTGCTCTGAACCCCAGAGGGGACTCTGGTGGTGCAGTGCTTGGGGGCTGAGTTGCTAACCACAAGGTCAGCAGCTTAAAGCCACAAGCTGCTCTGTGTGAGAAAGACAGGGCTTTCTACTCCCATAAAGAGTTACAGGTGCCAACTGGGCCCACACAGACGAAGCACACTAGCCTGAGCGATCAAAGGATTGTGAAGGATAAAAACCAAGCTCCAAGGAGGGAACGTATCGAGCTTAAATCGTGAACACTCAGATGGGGGAAAGCTATAGGTGACAGTGGGAGCCCAAGATCCATTCACGGGGTCTAATCTTGGATTAAGCCTCCGGTGAACCCCATCTGACCATAGACCAGGGATGAGAATAGCCTGGCTATCAGGCAGAGTGCAGGGACACCCCCTTCCCCACCTCTGTATTTTGTTTTCCGTGTTTTCTGTATATAAATTCAGGATGGGTATAGCTATATGGACAGTGACTTCACAGATTGTTTCTGGTGGGGGTGTGCGAGAGGTGGGGTGCTGATGACAATGAGTAGAGGAAAGACATAAACATTCTAAAATCGATTGTGGCGATGCTGGGACAACTCTAATGTGATTGAACTACTGAATTGTATGTGAAATGCATACCAATGAAACTCTTTTAAAAAGTTAGCATCAGAAACTCACAGGGGAAGTTCTATCCTGTCCTATGTCAGTCAACCTGCACTCAGGGGCAGCCAGCTTGGTTTTTGGGTTTGACCGATTCAGGTTTGGCAATGGCGGGAACTTGGGCACCTCCCTGGGCCATGATAAGGATGGCAGAAGCAGCAGCCAGCAGAATCTGATAACCCTGGGGGCCGTTCTGTCCCTGTGAGCCTCTTTCACGGAGACCTGAATCGTCTTCTCTTGGGCCACTATGAGGCTAGCTTTCTGCTACACAGATACACCCACATCGGGGTGGCGCAGACATAGGAAAGGAGCCTTAGAATGGCCCCCGACTGCAGCAGCCCCGGGCCTTAGAAGTGGCCAAGGGACAGCCCCAGGGAAGGTCTCCTGCCGAGGCCCCCCAGGTCCCCTTCGGATTCAGCGCTGAGGACATGGTGGTTTCATGAGGAAGACTGAGTGGAGGTGGAGGAGGCGGCCAGCCATTGGAGAGGTGATGACAGGGAAAGGAGGCTGTATGGTGGTGGATGGTGGTAAAGGTCTTCCAGAAAATGGTGATTTATAAAACCCTATGACTCCAGGAGGTATGCTGGGGAGAATGGCGCATAGGGAAGTCCCCATGGCGTTAATCCTGGGTGGGCCTCCAGCCCAACCAGCTCTGGGGGTGGGTGGGGTGGAGGCCAAGTAGGCAGAGAAGGATGATGGGTCAAGGGTGAGGTGTTGGTACTCCCCAGTCAGGAGGGGAAGTAGCCTGCTGGGTCCCTTACTACTGACAGTTCAGGTCGCCAGAGTCAGCAACCCTCTGGGGAGGGTGGCCTGGATACAGAACTTCCTAAGGGTGGCAGTCAGGGTGGGCACATAAGGGGATAGGGGAGAGGAATTGGGGCTCATAGGCAACTCTGGGGGGGGCTTCTATTAAGGGGTGCAGTAACTGGGTGGTAACTGGAAGCAGCTGGGAGAGGACTGGTCCTGGACTCAACAACTAATGTAGATTCATACCCCTGCTCAGACCTGGCCCCAGGGTGGAGATGCATGCTGAGTTCTTTGGCTCGGGGTTCCACCTGAGTCCTGGGACCATGGGCTTGGACAGCAAGGAGGAGCAGTAAGAGTCCTGAATGGTGGTCCTCAAGAGAGGCCTTCCCTCGCCAGCCTGGTCTTAAAGGAGCCATTGTGGCCCAGTGGTGAAAGCATTTGGCCGCAAACAGATGTGTGGCAGGTCAGGTTCCAACCCACCAGTTCTGCAGGAGAAAGATGAGAGCCTTGGAAGCCCTATGGGGCAATTCTGCCCTGTCCCAGAGGGCAGCAACGATTGGAGTCTTGAATCGGTACATGTCAGCATTGTGGCTGAGAAGGGGTGCTGGCTGGGGGCTGGAGGACTGCACAAGGCAGCCCTGGTCTTGATCCTGGGGCCGCTTCAGACCAGACAGGGCATCTTCGTGCATGGGTGTCTCATGTTCATGTTTTGGTTTGTTTGTGGAAAAGCTGTTGATGGAGGATTCAAATGAGACCATGTATTTGTGGCTGCCAGCTCTCTGTGCGGCTGTGGAGTTGATGCTGATGCACGGGGACAATGCTGGGAGCACAGGACCCAGCTGCTCCATAGGTCATGACCTCTCAGAAGCAGCACCTCTGGGTGTGCTTAACCATTTGAGCCCACCAGGGACTCCTCAGCACCTGGCAGGCACACCACTGGTGACTCTGTATGGGTCCCAGGGACAAGTCAGTACTAGGGAGTCCTGGTGGCATAGTGGTTACACGCTGGGCTGCTAACCTTGAGGTCAGCAGTTCAAAACCAACAGTCTATCTGCGGGGGAAAGACAAGGCTGTCCAACTCATAGTGGACCAGTGCACCACAGAACAGAACACTGTGCCATCATCACAAGTGTTCCATTGTCTGAGCCTGCTGTTGTAGCCCCTCAGTCAATTCATCTCCTTGAGAGAGAGACTTCCTCTCTTTTTGCTGCCCCCACTGGCACCCCCAGCCCACCCTATCCCCCAAGATCTGTGCTGTAATCCCCAGCCTCTGTGCCTGTGGTTATAATCCCATGTGGGAAAGGGTCCTCTTTGTAATGTTCACGCTGCAGGATTACAACAAATCAGCACTAGAGAGATGGGGGGAGAGGGATACCAAGGCACATGAAGATCATCCAGAAGCAGAAACTCAAAGGAGACAAGATAGTTCCTCCAGAGCCCACATACACAGAAAGTCCTCCCCTGGCGGCCGCGCCTGGATTTCAGCCTTCTAGCCTTGGAAACTGTGAGAAAATTAATGCCTGTCTGAGAAAACCACCCCCTTGTGGTATATTTTTATGACAGCAGCACTAGCGGACTAAGATAAAGACAAAAAAAAAAAGGTTTAGGAAAAAACAAGGTGATGAGAAAGAAGCGAGGAAGCTGAGAACTAGTCTGCAGATACCAAAAAACGGCGGGAAGAAGATGCTGGCATTTTTCCGATTCCCGTCGGGTTCCTGGCCCCTCACCTGCCTTCCTCTACTCCGGGCCAAAGGACCTTCCTTCTCGTTTACCCGGCCGCCTCCGCAATTTCTAGGTCCAGTCGGAACGAGGAGTCTTCCAGGGTCGCAGTCTGTCTCTCAATTGACTCTTCGTCTGTGCGAACCTAGGCAACTCTACGGATGAGGGGCGGGAGAAAGACCGGTGCGGTTGAGTCTTCGTCACCTAGCAACCGGGGGCACGCTCCGGCGCTATCGGCAAGAGAGAATACAATCCCCAGAATGCACGTCGCCCGCGAGGTGACTACAGACGCCGAATCTAGAGCCCTCCTTCCCGCAATGCCCTTCGGGACTTGTAGTTTTTCGGCCTCCGGGCGGGGCGCGGCGATGATTGGGCGGCTCCGCCCCGTTCTGCTCCGCCCGCGGCCCTCGGCGGGCCGGGGGGCTAGCGGCGCCCTCGCGCATGTGCGGCGCGGGGCGGCCGTGACCAGAGGAGGCGCGGGTGGCGGGGAGCGGCGGGGAGCCGCGTGCCGCGTCAGTCCGCTCGTCCACTGTCTGTCTGTCCGCGGGTCGGCCGTCCGTCGGCGCCGCCGCAGAGCATCCTCCTGCCGCGCACCTGCCTCCTCCTCCTCCGCTGCCCGCTGGGCTCCGCTCGTGCCTCAGCCCCGGGACCCCGACCCAGCCAGCCCGGCCCGGCCCTCTGGCCCGCAGCCACCCGGGCGAAGCCGCCGGGGAGGGCGCCCAGCCGGGCCGGGCCGGCGCGGCGATGATGCACAGGTTCCGAAAGTGGCTGTACAAACCTAAGGTGAGTGTCGGCCGGGGACCCGTGACCCCTACCCCAGCCCCCGGCCCCCCGACCCCTCTCACTGCCCCCAGGGGCTTCGGCCCCACTGTCCTCCCAGGCCCCGTCCTGGAAAGATGAGACACCCCCCGCGCCCCGCTCTCCAGAACGGCCGCTCTGTCTGGGACCCCCAGGCTTGGAGTCCCCGCCATGCATCAGCTGTTCCTTACTCTGCAGGACTCCCCATCTCTGCTAGGTCCCGGGAAAGACCTTGCTGACCCTCCTCCCAGCTTCTAGAGGGACGAATCCTCCTTCCTTTCCTGCCCCCCCAACTATCCTGGGTCCTGGGCAGACCCCCCCACTCACTCTTCTGCTCTGTCACGACCCCTCTCCACTTCCTCGGGGTCCGCAGGCGGCCTCCATCCTCCCCCGGCTGGAGCAGGTTCTTTTCCCTAGCGTATCTCCCACGACTGAGCCCCCAGGTGCTGCCCTCGTCTCCTCTGGCGGGCGGGGCGAGTGTCCTCGGCCACAGTGGCCAGGTGGCTGGAGGTGCCGCTCCCCACTGCGTGCGAGCGCCCCTCCTGCGCTGCGGGGTCGAGGCCTGGCCCGTGCGTCCCGCCGCCCCGCGCCTCGGCTGCTGCGCCAGTCGCACTGCGGGCGCTGCGTCCCCTTGGCGACTGGAGCCGGACTGTCGTGCCGGTGCAGGGTCTGGGTGCGGCAAGGCCTGGGATTGGGGTGCGGGGTTGGGCGTTCTGGGACCTGGAATTGGAGCGTAGGGTCCGGGGGCTGCACGTTGGAGGCTGGCGCTGCGAGAGGACCCAGGGATTGGAGTTTTGAAGGAGAAGAGCGGGGTCTCGGGTGGGGTCCTTGGTACGCAAGGA